TGATTGGTTACTTTTTTATTTTGCACTTATTTTTCTTTCTTAGTCCCCCCCCCCCCCCCCCCCGTACAAACTCGAACGGTTGTCTGGTGGTGCTGCTGAGAGAGAGATTACTGGATTACAGGGTCGACGACTTCATCACTGGAAGCTATCAACAGCAATGAAGACTCCTTCCTTTAGTCATCCCTCCAGCCAGTCAGAGGTTAGTGGGGTGGATGAGGTGAGGCCTTTTTATTCCCCTGAGAACTTTCAACTTAGAAAGAAAAATAAGTGAAGAGAGTAAGAAAAACAAGACCCACTTTTGATGAGCAGACGCATTCCCCAAGAATACATGCTGCAGCCTCTGTCTGCTCACAGAATGAGATAGAAAAATGGGAACTTACAAAAGTATCCTTGTTGTCCTGTAGAAGGGGCTGAATGTATGTACTTTAACGTCGTCATTTAATTATTTATAATTCCCTTCTGATTCAAGTTCATTGAACAGTGAGGTTTAAAAAAAAAAAAAAATTAAGTGGTGGCTAGAGCCCTCTGGATAATCTGCTCAGAATAGTCTTGTGACATCTGAGGAGCGAGCATCTGAGAGGAAACCTAAAGGATGAGGGTGACCTGAGCACCAGCCACTGAGACAAAGGGCTGCGTGACTGTTTGGAAGACTCCCAACTGACGCATCTGTGGACCAAGCACAGGTGGAGTTAGAGAGTGAGGATGCTGGAGTGGGCGGTGAGGCCTTCGGAGGGGAATTGGGTTTAAGACCTGATTGACTCCGGGTTTTTGCTATGGGTTGGTGGTGGTGTGGACTAGGGGACTGGAGGCAGAAACACTGATGAACTTTGAATCACACCAGCATACCAGAGATGAGCGCCATAGGGCTGCTGATGCTTGGCTGTGGGCAGGAGGGCTGGAAGGAAAGGGAGGGCAGGGTGAGTGTGAGCTCCTGAGAGAAGGACGGTTCATTCCTGAGGTGGAGGGGAAGGTGGCTAGGATGCTAGAGCTCTCTCTTTTGTGCAAGCTGCAAGCTCCTGTAGCATGCCAGGGACTCTGGCAGACAGTAGGACTGGAGCTACGTCATTCTTCTGGAGTCCAGAGGTGGATTCTGGGCTCCAGATATGAGTGGAAGTCACAGCATAGAGAACATATATAAACGTAGAAACGTTGAGTTCCTCCTGTCTGCTGAAAACCATTCAGACTTCCTATATTGCTTGAGAATCTGATCCTTTGGATACTGCTTTTAGTAAAACCGTACAGATATTTTACTGTAAGATACTCATTTGAAATTTATTTATGTCACCAAGGACCAGGAAGGTGAAATGCTATACCTGGCGCCATAAAACCATTGTCTGAGCTTGTTTGTCAGAAAAATCTATATCTGGATGGTGTGATCAGATCCTCAGCCCTGCCCTACTGGTTGTGTCCTAATGGGGCAGGCATGAAAACCCCCAGGACCAAGGGCAGTCATTATTTAGATTTAGGTGGCAGAGTTAAAACAAGAATATCTGTTACCCCAGGTTAGAATCAAGGACAACAGAACTGCTTAGAAACTAGGCACCCATAAGAAGTTTTAGACCAGGCAGGCATTTTGTGCAATTTTCATAGTGCGTGGATGAAGCATTTTGTTAAACAACAGCGAGTGGCCAGGACTTGTGGGAACTGCCAGGTGTTAGGGATTCGCACAGATGAGTGAAGTGGGTGTTGTGTTGTGTCGCACTGTGTGATCCTGCTCAGAGCAGCAGACTCACCAACAGCTTGGTTATGGGAGATTATCAATGACAACAGCTGGGATCACCAGCATTTCTTGAGTCTGGGCACTGTCTGTCAGACATGCACTGTAGGAAGTCCTGAGCTAGCAGTGTTTCGTGGCACCCGTGAACTCTGAGTCTTCTCACCGTCCAGTCCGTCTGTGTGTTCAGAGAGGGAGACTAAGGTGCGAGAAGGACGTTACTTCTTCAGGATCACACAGCCAGTACAGACAGCGATCGGAGGATTAAGTTCTTAGCTACCTGTAACATTCAGTATTGGGTTTAGGGTGTTTTCTCTTGGAGGAGGAATTGAAAACTAGGCAAGTTTTCAGAGTGTCCCTGGGCCAAAACCATCAACCTCCAAGGTGGTATAAAACCACAGCCTAGAAAAAACGACACTTTTTTCAGCTCAGCTTACCAGCATTTCCCCGTACTTCCAAGTCTTTCCATTCTCCCATTACAAAGAACCTTTCGTCCTAAACTGGTAGGCCTTTTTACTTCTCGGAAAACTTCCCTGAAACCAGCCAAAGAAAATTCCTGTGGTGACAGGTCATGCTAAACCATTTCTAGGGAGGCCTCTGTAGCACTCATGCACACCCTGCCTCCTGAGGGATGTGGCTGAAAAGAAACTCCTTCACCCACCTTCTATAACACGGCCCTGTGGAGGCCTCAAGAAGGGGCTGACTGAGGGATATGAGGTTTAAAATGTGAGCACAACAGATCCCTTGTGAGACTTGGGCGAGCCTGTGAGGTCTAGGAACCCTGTACTTCCTAGGAGCAGCAGTGACTCTCACCTCCCGGTGTGCACAGCACTGGCATCACCACCCAGTGTGCACAGTACTGGCCTTCACTCTCAGCTCTGCCAGCCAGGGCCGCCCTCATAAAACCAGCGACACCACACATGGGTGCAGATTCCATTTAATTCTTATGGTATTCCTAATGAACCTTCACTGCTCCCCTTCCGTAGATACAAACAGCTTATGGGGATTGGTAAATTGCTTTTCATTTCCCCGAGTGCTGGGGTTGCAGCTGTGTGTCCCCAAGTGCTGGGGTTATAGCTATGTGCCATCACTCCAGCCTGAGACCATAATTTGCCAGTCTCCTGGCATTTCAGGAGTCCTGTTTGGAACTTGAGTTGTTGCGAAGGGCTGTGCTGTGCTGGCCTGCCTTTCTGCAGAGCTGGCTTCCATGGGCAGTGGAGCCATCCTGCTGGTTACACTCTGATGCTGCTGCATGCTCTCTGGGAGATGCCAGGCAGGTTATCTAGTCACTCTGCCCTGGCTTGTCCACTCTGTAGCATGAGGACACCAGAACACTCCTGTCCTTTCTCTAGAATATTAGAGGAGTCAGTCTGTCTGGCTCCCTGAGCTCAGGGTGTCAGCACTAGCCACATTTTAATTTATATGTTGTCCTTTTCTCTCTGTGTATAAGATTAGTCGGCAATTTCAGGGATTCGCCAGCCCAAGGTTGTAGCCATCTATTCAGGAGTCACATGTAGATGACCCACACAGAATGCTTGGTTTCAATCTAGTGAATGTTAGTTGGGGTTAGTATGGCTGTGTGGGACACTGGGGTTGGGGGAGGCGCACCTGCACTGAACTGTGGCCAGTAAGGTAAGTTCCAGACACAGGCATGAGCACTGTCTCTGGACTTGTTTAGTTTTCATGCAGTTACTGCCCGTGATGAATATGCACTTCAGAGTTTTTCAGGGATGCATCGTCTCCACAGCTCTGTGGCTGTGGTCATTGGAATTAGTCAGCTCTTGCTGGCTGCCGCTGCTCCTTGGTTCTGACTGACCACGGTATCCTCCTGCCCACTTTCCTTCTGGATGCTAGAGAAAGCTGAGATTCTCAGCTCAGACATTGTGGTGACTTCTCTCCCTTCTCTTCTAGCTTAAGAGCTGGACTGTGGAGGACCTGCAGAAGAGGCTCTTGGCCCTCGACCCCATGATGGAACAGGAGATGGAAGAGATCCGGCAGAAATACCGGTCCAAGCGGCAGCCGATCCTGGATGCCATTGAAGCCAAGAAGAGGAGGCAACAGAACTTCTGATAACACCAGCCTGGACTTGGGTGGCTTCTGGGTTGCTAAACTCATGTCTGTTAGCCAGCACTTCTGCTCTGTCATTTATCCACAGCACCTTTGTGAACTCAGGAATGTGCGCCAGTGGGAAGGGCTACTTGACAGTCATTGTGCCATTTGGCGTGTGTGTTTACACCGGCAAGGTGTATCTTGAAGGGTTTGTAATGGTGCTTTTAACTCAGAATTGTAGACTCCAGGAGCAGAGACTCCTAGTTCATTGATAGCTGGGAAATTTTTTACATTGTTTCTTTTTGTTTTCCTCCTAGTAATAGCTTTTGGTTGCTCGCCCTGGAAGACTTTTTAAAAAAATCTATAAATATGCATATATATATATATATAAATTATAAATAGATTCCCCACTCTGTGGTGGTGTCTCTGTACAGGTACAGTTTCAAACACTTTGCCTCTTTCCTGTGAGATTATGGTACTGTGCAGCAAGAGAGCAGAAGACACTGGGAGGCTCTGAGGAGGCCACTGAATCCCAGGAGTCACTTTCACCCGTTGCAGGGCTGCATGAAAAAATTAGCCTTGGGATGGTTGTGCCACCACAGTGACAAGCCTCACATGGTCACCACTGGCCTCTGAAGCTGTCGGTGATGCCAGGAAAAAACCTGGAGAACTTGAGTTTTCTCTTTTCCCAGGAGAAGCCTGGCACCTTCTTTGCAAAGTAGCCTTTGCTGTCCCAATGCCTTTTGATCTATCTCCACCCTCCCAGCTGCCTAAAGTCACATCCCAGATACTGCCCAGTGCCTTAAGAGGAGAGACATCTGTGAAAGGACCAGCTACCAAGAGCTCTCTCCAGCAAACAGGGCCCTATCCAGCCAGAAAATCTCACTGTTTATGGGAAAAATCACACATGACATTCTGCTCTTCATTTCTTAGATACAGGGTAAAGGGCGCTGCTCTCATGGTCCACATCCAAGTACGTGATTGATTGTTCATGGTCCACATCCAAGTACGTGACTGATTGTTTATGTTTTCTTCACTGTGGAGCCTCTGGCCAGGGTAAATTAGTGCCGGACCAAGGCTCACTCCCAGAAGACTTAGTCGGACCCAGAATGGCAGAGCTGGAAGGGGTTGTCACAGTCAGTGGGTCTGACCTTGTATTGTCCAGGTGGGAAAGTGAGACTCAGAGGAGAGGTGACATTGCCATTGCCACAGATCAAGTTAGATTAGAAGGGGGATTGGATTCAGAGCCTTTGTCCTGGGCCACTGGACCCAGAGCCTCTTCACTGAGAGCATGTGGCTGCCAGTGTATATCAGGTTGGCCCGGGGACCCCGGGTCTTCCCTTGCCTCTTTGGTACCTAAGCTGCTATGGAAAGGTCCACCAGAGGAGCCATGTCATTCAGACTCAGCATGCCAGTGGGTTCCTTACACTGTCTCCCAGATACAGACAGGCACTCATGGAAGGCCTACAGTGGGGTAGAGGGCTTTGCAAAAGACAGGTACAGAGTCATCCCTGCACCTTTGGCTCAAAACTGCAGTCAGAAGGAACTGGGAAGACAGTTACCCTTTTATTTCTTCGCATTTCATCCCTCTGATGGGAACCCTGATGAGGTTGCACCTGAGGATACTGAAATTCGACTCCGCAATTGCTTTTGCTCCCTAACCTGAGAGTCGATAAAAAGGCAGAGGACGTTCTTTTCTGTGACCAGATCCTGTTCTTTGCAGTTAAAGCAAGCTTTAAAGAAATGCAAGAGGTAGCTGGTCTGCAGGCCTTGGCCAGCAAAGTAACTGTGACAGAGAATTAGAGGACAATTCATGGATCTTGCTGGGATGATGAATGGCTGCTAGCATGTCCTGGGTAGCACATGTCAGGTGCTGAGCTAGGTGTACTACAGGTTTTATTGTAATCCCCTGGGCTTATTATTTTTCATATGATGATTCCTTCCCACAACACTGTGGATCTGGATGCATGACATCCTATGGGGCTAGTAGTCACAGAAACAGGAAAGTCCTGAACGCTTAGAATGAAGTGACCATAGCTTCTCACCAAGACTTAAAGTCTAAGTGGTGTTATTTTTTTTTTTTTTCATTTTAAGGTTAGAAACCAGGTGAATGAATAGTCAAATCCCCAAGTAAAGAAAGTTTTTAAAAACCCAGAGTAGAGAGCTTGCCATAACATTTGCTGTGCTGCTTAATAGCCCAGCCCTGAGCGCTTTCCGCTTGAAGGAGAAGGCTTTGGGCTTTGCCAGACAGAAGGAAAAAGCCCCTGGCTCCCTTCTAAAGCAAGATGGGAGTACAGGAAAAGCGTTTTTCCTGTGACTATTGAGCTGTGAACCTCAGTCTGGAGTCTCTTTGGTCACAAGCATGTCTGCACGGCACAGCTTGGTCCACAGGTGCTCAGCCGTCCGGCTCAACAGCTGTTTGCCAGAAGCCAGTTGTTTTGGATTCTAGCGAGGCCTACGTGTTGTTCGGTGACGGGAGCAAACCGTCCTTTCCTTGAGGACCAGCCAAATCCTAAGAATCGTGTTTCACTTCTCTGGAGCTTGAGCATTTGTGGCTCTGGCTTGCAGTGGACTCTGGCTGGGCTCTCTGCTTCCAAGGTACCGAGGCCCACACCTAAATTCTTTTCAACAAACAAACAGAACCTCATACTCTTTAAAAATATTGTAGTTTTGCTCCCATTCATAAATTTGAAGCACATATCCACTTTTATTTCCTTTATATATTTTTTTATTTTATATAAGATTTTTATTTTATATAAGATTTTATATTCCCCAGTAGATTGGACAAGAATTTGACTAACTGGGAGTGAGAAAGGTTGTTGGGGGTGCAGATGAGTGGGAGCAGGGACCTGAAGCCTTAGGAGCTGAGTCTTGAGTCTCTTACACTGAGTAGCACCTGGCACTGCCAGAAACTCTTTTTACCATTTAAACCTCAATACCCCCGTCTAGTGTCAGGAGTGGGAGAGATGACATCACTGTAGACCCTGCAGATACTCGGAAACTAAAAGCAGAATATCATGAACAGCTTCATGCTAATAAATTCACCAGCTTCAGTGAAATGGGCAGACACCCAGAAAATTACAAAGGAACTAAGCTTACTCAGAGACAAAATGGGCAATCGCAACAGCCCCCAGCCCCTGTTCTGCCAGAACTTGGTAGCTCTGAGAGACATGGTTAGCTCTTCATTTAAAGGACCAGGAACCTGACACTCTGTAGCAACTGTTCCTCAAGGTCACCAGAGTGTGACAGAGTCTGATTCTTACTCCACTGGCCCTCCCAGCATACCTCTTGGTCTCTAAAGATTGCTGTCCTTTTTTTTGGGGGGGAGGAAGTCTTTCCCGTTCAGACCACACCCCTCATCCTCCTCACCCTTTTTAAAGCACTGTGTTTGTGTTTTTATTAGGATTACATGCATTGTCTTTGGAATCTGTGTTCTTTGTGTTTAGGGGGGAGGTCTCTTCCACCAGCCTGCACTCAGACCAACTTGGAGAGAAAAAAAAATCTTAAATGCTGTTGCTGATGTACAATTTAAAAAAAATGTGAAGTTTGTAGCTTTAATCTTTTGTAACAAAAACTAATTAACACTGGCTTAAGTGCTGACTTGAAATGCTATTTTGTAAGGTTTGGCTGTAAATAGTAGAGGTCAGCTGTTTGTATATGTGTGAGACATAGCTTCTTCCACTGCCCTTCGTTTTTAACTGGAGGTTCTTCCTGTGTGCTTTTATGTTAGAGTCGCCCCCTCCTCATTTCTCCCCCACCACCTGTCACCCTTGTGTTAAATAAACTGTCCTTTAGACCACAGACTGTCCCCTTTTTAACATGAGGTTTTCCATACATGTCAGTGCCATGCAGTGTTGTGATTGTTGATGCTACTGGGTGTTTATTCTGTGATCCAGAGCCAGGAGAGAGGTCAGCTCATTGACCCTTGATGACAGAGCCAGTTGGCAATGCCATTACAATGAACTGGTATGGATATGTGTGTGTGTGTGTGTGTTTGCGCGCGCGCGCGTGTGTTTTTTTTAAAATTTTTTTACATATATATTTGCTATATAATATATATTTTCTCCCCATACACACACACCCCATCCTTGCCTCTATCTTTCTTCCCCTCCCCCTCTTCTGAGATGTCCCCTGAGCTTTGAAGGGGTCCTCACATCCCGTGTGGGGCCAAGCATTCCACCACCAGAGAGGGGTGGGGGGAGAGAGATGAATGTGTGAGTGTGTATGAGAGAGAGTCCCATCAGAAAATTTTGACCAAGGGACTGGTATTTAAAGATGCATGTGTTTGCAGTGCCATCATGAGCAAGTACTCAACTTTAATCAAGAACATATCAAAACAAGTTGGCGGGTGCTACACACCCACAGTTCAAACAAAGAGGAGTTGTTGAAGGTAGCTAGGATGTGGAGCAGCTAAATTCTTGAATACTGGTGAGCCTCCCTGAGACCCAGCAGTTGTGGGTAATTCCTCAGTGGACCTGTGTACATGTTTCTACAAGACGTACATGCATGTGCATGGCATTGCTTGTTACTCTAACCATCTCGGTGCTGCTGAGTCCAGAGTCTCGTGCGTTCTGGGGTCTCAGGCAGGCCAGGTAAGCACTCTCCCACTGAGCCTTAGCCCTGTACTTGAGGGCTCACTAAGTTGTCCAAGCTATATCTAGGCTTTAAATTAGCAATCCTCTTGCCTCATCCACATGAGTAGCTGGGATTATAGGCCTGTATTGTAAGCCTGTAACCCTGGTATTCCCAGGTTGTCTCCATTGGAGAATTAACCTGGCACATTCATGCTTAGTTTTGAAGATCGGAAGAGGTCAGGTACATTCATGGTGATATGGTGTGAGTCCTTTATTTTGTAAAAGGAAGCCATCCAGATATCCAGTGACAGTTGAATGGATAAGTAACGTAAGTCACTGTGCTGGAGTACTACACAACACTGCAAATGAATCATAGCTGTTGTGGAAGAAAGAAAAGGCTGACCAAATGAGAAAAGCAAAGGTGGTTTATTTCGAACTTGCTCTGTCACACTTAAACTTGCGCAGACTCAAAGGCAGAAAGGAAGAGTGAGGACCTTACTCTACAGTGGAAAGACTTGGAAGGCCTCAGCCTTGAATAGAGGCTTTGGACTGGGATGCTCTAGGCAAGCTAATGACATTTTTGTGCTGCTAGTTGGTCCTCATTGGAAATGGAAGACAGTATGGGAGCCTGCTGCTAATCAATCCCTAGCCTTGTTAGACTGGTTATAACAGAAGTTATGGTTCAGCTTCTTGAACTGACACTAGAGGTAGTCGCAAGCTGGCTGCCTGCAAAGTCTAGCCAGTGGCAGGCTGGCTTCCTGGGCTGTTCCCTGTAAGAATGAAGTTGGTTTTCTGGGTAGTCTGCCCCTTGTCTGCTTGTATGTTCCGTTTCTCACTATGCACAAAAGCCTGGCTGATCTCTCTGATACTAGAATAAAGTGAGACATGTCTGTCGTCGTATGAATGAATAACTATGATTTATATTCATAGTGGACATTACTTCATTCTTGAAGAGGTATTCTTACACATTACAACATGGATAAACCTCAGACATTACGATAAAAGAACATATCTTTTTTTTTTTTTTGCTTACAAGGTTCTATAGTAGCAAGGAAAGTCAAGTAAGCAAACCCAGATAATGTTTTGGTTGGTTTTGTTTGTTTGTTTACTTGTTTGTTTCTTTAGTTTTGGGGGGCACAAGATAAAGAGCACTTCTGTTCTACAGGAAAGAATCTCTGGATTCTTGGAGAAGAGGTTCGTAAACTGGCTGTTGCCAAATTCGCACCTTTATGGAGTTTGGCGTGGCCGCACTAGAGTGGGAAGAAGCCCAAGGCCCCATAGAATTGAGACAGACAGTTCACGACCTTTATCAGTGTAGAAAAGCTCCCAGATTCCTTCTTGCTCAAGGTTGCTTAACTAGAAGGTGGAATCAATTTAGCCTGGAAAGCTACAAGTAAACTGGGCAGGAAAGAATCTAGGGCATACAGAATTGCAAACACATGTTAATTGATACCATGAGCTGGTGGAAGTGTGTGTGTGTGTGTGTGTGTGTGTGTGTGTGTGCGCGTGTGTGTATGTGTTTGATATTGTATTCAGCGGGGAAAATGTAATTTGGGGCCATCTCTGATTTTGAGATGGAATCACTTCCCAGGGATTTGGCCTTCTCCATGCTAGCTCCAGGATCTGGCTGGCCTCTAGCAACCAAAGGAGTTGGCAAATGAAACTTGGACCAAATGCTAGCCCACATGAATTGGGCCTTACAGAATCCAAATCCATTGGCATTCGTAGAGGACGGGAATAAAAGATTTCTGAAGACAGTATGCTGGACCAGACTTATTTGTGATTTCTTCCCATAAATCCCACTAAGTATGGCCTCCAGTGACCCCAGCATGTGTTTGCCCTTGCTCAGAGGAATGTCTAGGTCACGAGTACTGGGCCTGTCTCAAAATAAAAGGTGGAGAGCACTCAAGGAAGACATATGACATCCAAATGCACACACAGACACACATGTGTTATGCATACCTGCATCAGAAGATGGAAAGAACGGAGGAGAGTGAGAAAAGGGGGAAAAATGGAGGGAGAGAAAATGATAGAATTTCACCGATACATGCTGGGTTTATCTCCCTCTTTGTGAAAGGCACAGCCTCTTTTCATGCAACAGGGTCTGCTCTGCTGATAGTTTCTTCCTTGCTGTTGGGCTTTGAGGATGAATTTCAGGCTAACTGTGGACATCAAGTAATTTTGTGTCTAAAGGTGCCCATGGTGAACTGGGGACTCTGTCCTCCACCTAGATAGAAAGTCAAGGATGACTGGCAAGGACTCAAGTGGACCCTTGAGATGTGCTGTTTCATGAGGAGGTAGGTATTCACAGTTGGGGAATTGTGTATCTGTCTTCTAATGAAACACAGGAACCCACTTACAAATCCATTGCCTTCCATTTCTATAGCTTGAGTTTTGTAAGCTTTAAGATTTTGGTGACCATGGGCAGAATGGTCCCCTAAGGGATATGATAGTGAGTTCCTGGAATTGGGGACTGGGTCTGTTACTTGGGCATTTCTGATATTGTTCCCAGGAATACAAGTATAGAGGGAATTACGGGGCTGTCCCAGGTAATCAACTCTACCATCAAGAGGAAATTCCAAGACTGTTACCCAGAAGCATCAAGGAGTTTGTGTAAGGCCAGGGAATCCCCTGGGGCATCTTATTGCTCCCAGCACTTTCCAGGGTTCAGATTCTCCAGGAGTAAAGGGTCAGGCTACCCTATCGAATAGTGAATCTCAACCAGCAGAAGTGCCAGCCAAAGACAAACGTGACATGGCACATAGAACACATTCTCCGTGCCAGCAGCAGCCTCTGGGCATGCAACATGGAATGAAGCTGGGATGTCTTCCTCACGACTATGTCTTTCATTGCTGTCCCTCCAGTTTTATACACAGAACATGCTGGAACAGTCCACTTGCTCGTTACAGACTACTGAGGTAGGAGAAGTGGCACCAGTGGGGGAAATTGTTACCAGTGAAGAGCTGGATCCATCCAACAGGAAATGGTTTGGGGGGTGTCTTCCCTTTGAAGAGGGAACCAGTGTTTGGGTTATATGTGACTGTTTATGTTAGAAACATGCGTGCGTGTGTGCATGCCTGCCTGCGTGTGTGTGTGTGTGTGTGTGTGTGTGTGTGTGTGTGTGTGCGCGCGCGCGCGTGCAAGTATGTGTGGGTGTTAGATTCCCCAGAGCTGGAGTTACAGGCACTTGAGAGCTGCTTAGCATGGGTGCTGGGAACTGAATTTGGGTCCTCTGAATGAGCATTAAGGGCTCTTATCCACTGAAGCATCCCCAGACCGATTCCCCTGCATCATTTTGCTTACAGATCCAGTTTTCCCTCCAGGAAGGATGGTGGTTTGGCTGAGTCATCTGCTTTTCTCTTTGTGGGGCTGGACGACAGAATTCTGGGTTTACAAATGTAGCAAATGGAACAAGATCAGTAATTCAAAGACACAGCCATGTGTTGTCACTTAAAGAGGACACAAAAATAACAGGTAACCACTACACTGCAACCCTGGGTTTCTCAACACCACATGAACGCACATGCGCACGCACACGCACACCCATGGAAGGTATTTAGAAGTGAATGTTTGGAAAGCAATATCCCCTAAACAGAAAGGATTCTGGGATGCTACTGAGGTCCACAGAACTCTAATTGCTCTCTTGCCTCAGGCCTTGTCAGTTTTTTTTTTTTTCTTTGACTGGGGGAACTTGATTAATCTTCGTTACCTGCTGGATGGTGGCCTCCAATGTTCTTATTCGGTATGTGAGTCTTTGCAATTTCGATGGAAAGGATCTCGAGATAATATCATCTTGAATTGTCTCCATGGACCCTAAATGCCATCACAAGTATCTTTATAGGAGAATGGTTTGGGGAAATTTAATAGACAGTGGAAAATGTGATGCCGTGCCAGGGCCAGAGGCAGCGGCGATACCAGAGGCTGAGGAGGTGTGAGCGGGGCTGGTGCTCTCCTCTTAGTTCCCAGAAGCAGAACCCTGCTAACACCTTGACTGTGGACTTTTGGCTCTGAGAACTGTGTGAGAATAAATTTTTAAGCCACGGAGTTTGTGGTCATTTGTCACAGAACCACTGGAAATGAGCATACCTTCCAGTTTGTCCGTTAAGGTAGTCGCCAGTTTCTAATGTTTGCAAACACTCACACTTGTTCTTGCTTATCATTGTCATTATCTGACTAGTTAGCTTGTTTTCCTCTTTGTGTTGCTGGGAACTGAACTCAGGGTCTCAGGCACGCTAGATAAGCACTCTCTCACTAAACGACAATCTCAGAACATTTTATTTTGAAACAGGATCTCACTAAGTTCCCGGGCTGACCTTAAACTCACTCTGTAGCTCAGGCTGTCCCTGAGATCTTTTGTAAGCCTCCCTATAGTCTCTGGGCTTATAGGCCTGTGCCACAAAGCCTGGTGAGTTAGACTTTCTGATGATGTTCATTCCAACTGGATTCTTGTCACATGCAAACTGTCCCGACTGCTGCTGCCACAGACAAAGCCTCTGAGGGTGTGGGTTATGAAGGGCTCCTTTGTATTGATTACCCACCTTCTCCAGTCTCCCAGAACAAACCTAGCAACCAGTTCCAGGCTGGCTGAGGCAGGTGCTCGGGCCTGGGTCTGCATTTGTGTAAGACTTCCCACCAATCCGCTAGAGGGGGCGGGGGGAGCCACGACATTGCTGCTCCGATGACATGCAACCTGCAGCAGACAGTTCTCCCCTGTTGGTCCCCACACCACGTTTAGAGTTTCGTTTGAAGGAGTAGGAAGTCTGGGTGTGTGTTAGGCTAGGCTAGAGGAGGGTGTGGGGAGCTCTCCAGTCTGTCCCTCATCGGGGCACAGCTGGATACAGATGTTAGGAGGAGACTCTGTAGAAGAGGTGAGGAGTAGGGTGTGCTCCCGAGAGGCCCTTTGGCTTAGCTCCTGTCTCTACTGCAAACCACAGATATTGGGCATCTGTTGGGTACTCTGGAACACTCTCCTCAGAAACCTTTTTTTTTTTTTTCTAATTACCGCTTATCTTTATCATAGCAGATTAGACTGTCACTCACTTGGGAAAGCATTCTTGGATGGTTTCAGGTTACGGACTCTGGTGGAGAAGGAGTGCTCGGGGTTTCCTCCCGTGTAAAGTTGACTGTCATGAACGTTCATGACTATCCCCTTTGAGTTTGTCTCCCCGACCAGTTCCTGTTGTTAGTATAGGGAAACTTGTGTTCTCTACCATGACAGCCTTTGAACCTGGTAAGCAACCAGAGGCCCAGCAGCCAAGGCAAACTGGACAGGGGAGGGTGGGACGTGGAACATGCTGGCTTATATGGGAGGGGATGGAAGAGAAGCCATGGGAAGCTGAAGAGTGCATTCTTCCTCCTGAGGCTTTGAAAAAAAAGTCTAAAGACACTAAAATTACCATGCATCTGAAGGAAACATTGTAGGACACATGGGAAGCCTAAACTGAGGAGCCTCCTAGTGAAGATCTGTTAGTGAGGGAGTGAAGAACCACGGTGAACTCGTTGTTAAAAGTTCCCAAACCAAGCAGGGCTGGGGATGGACTGCCAATGGGTTTCCTTTTCAATGCTCTTCATGCCCTTCCAAGACCTCTATCTCCCTCCTCTTTCCTCGCAGTGCCTGGTACCCAGCAGGCTGTAGCAACTGCTGAGTCTAGGCACTATGTGCTAAATACCCACCTTGCCTGGGATGAGCCAAGATGCTGTCTTCTACCTTGAGGCCCAGTATGATGGAGCAGATAGGGCCCCAGGGAGGCCCCAATCATATAGAAAGGGGTACTCATTCGCAGCATATAAAAGTGTGTGTGTGGCAAGGGCACGGGACCCCTTCACAACTTGTTCAGCCAAAGGGACAGACGATTTGGCAGGCGAGAATAAAAGATTTACCTCCATCAAAGATGACAGGGCCAGCCCTGGATAAGAGGGACAGGAGTCTCAAGCAGAGACTTTATTCAAGGCAGGGTTGGAGTTCTGTGTGATAGACAGGGAACTTCCCAGGTTAGAATGCAGGCCGTGGTAGCCAGGTTTATACTACTGTGATAAAGATCGTGACCAAAACCTTGGAGAGGAAAGGGTTTCTTTGGCTTACATATCCCAGGTTCATTGAGAGATGCCAAGGCAGGCACATAAGACATGAACCCTGAGGCAGGAGCTGAAGCAGAGGCCATGGAGGAACACCGCCCACTGCCTTGCTCCCGTGGCTTGGTCAGTCTGCTTTCTTATATACCCCAGGACCACCACTTTAGGAATGGTGCCACCCACAGTGGGCTGGGCCCTCCCATATTAATCATTAACCAAGATAATGTCCCACAGGCTTGCCTACTGGCAAGCTGATGGAGGCATTTCCTCAGCTGAGGTTCCTCTTCCCAGATAACTTTAGCTTGTGTCAAGCTAAAGAAATTCAAGCGGGACAGGAGCATGCAAGGCACCCCTCTGCCACCAACAGTTCAGAGATGAGCTGGGTCTTCTCAGTAACCTTCTCTCTGGGTCACACGCTGTGACAGATTGGCTAGAATCTAGTTCTGGGGACGGGCGTTGGCCACCTTTCCTGTGGCAGGTATAGAGCTGTGTCTGGGTCCCAGAAGGGTCTATTCAGGCTTTCTCTGTAAGTCAGCGCCAGGAAGCAGATGTGGCAGATGACTGTGCTACTGGTCCCACAGATTCCAAAGACTCAGACCCCAGCTCCTTCAAGAGATAAATCGTTGAAAGCTGAGTTCTCTGTGGCATTTGGCCGAGCCTCAGTTCCCTCATCTGTGAAATGGGGTTGATCATCCGCCAGCACAGGGCTAAAGACTCACATGAAGAATGTCCTCTTCCTCCTCTTGGTGCAGACCTACTTCAGAGGAGGGCTTTCTGTGGGCCCGTGGAATGTAGGAGAGTACTATCCTGCCCTGGGCTTTTTGAGAAAGATCTGTGCCCCTGTCTCATTGTTCAGGTGGATTGCTCCCATGTAAGACCCTAACTAAGCAGGGGAGGACTCTGCTCTGTTAGCTGATTTCCCAGGCTATGGGGAGGGAATGCAGAACCCTGGTTTTAATAACTGTGAGATTTTGCAGGCTCACTGTGGGCTTGGGTCTCTAGGTCTGTAGAGCGCCCCTCCTGAGAAGTCTCCCGGGATGTTTCCAGAGACACGTCGGATACCCCGTCAACACTGCTCAGCAAATCCTCAAACTCGCGCTGGCCGCTGCTCCGCACGGCTGCCTCCAGTGCCTTCTGGCGTCGGTAGAAGTGGGAGAACTTGTTGAAGATGATGGTGATGGGGAGGGCCACCACCAGGATGCCCCCGAGGATGCAGCCCGAGGCCGCCAGCTTGCCAGCCACAGTCTCCGGCACCACATCCCCATAGCCCACTGTGGTCATGCTCACGGTGCCCCACCACCAGCAGGCGGGGATTGTGTCAAAGCCCTCGTTCTCTTCTTCGGCTGTGTAGGCCACACCGGAGAACACTGACACACCCACAGCCAGGTACAGCAGTAAGATGCCCACCTCACGGTAGCTGTGCTGAAAGAAAATGTATGAACCCAAGTCAGAGCTATCGGGACTTACAGACTCCGATAGCTCCTAGTGTCAGGAGAAACAGAGGCTCACAGAGTATAAAGGAAGGTCCAAGGTCAAACGGTGGGACTGGAGCCAAGGCCCTGACTCTGAAGGACATTCTTCCTACTACATTAAGCAACAAAACTCCCTATGAGTGATCACAGGCCTTATTTCTGTGTACATGGCGCATGCTTGACCACACTAATTCAGATCCTGATGGTTGTATGCTCTTGTAGAACCAAGACTACCACAGTTGATATTTCATAATGCAAAGAGTTGGCTTCCTGCTCTGAATCGCTCTACAACATTTCTGACAAGTACAGAAATATTGTCTGCCCCTCAAGGTAACCGATAGGATATGAGTTCCCTAGGTCATTTAAAGAATATTTGTGTATGGGCATCTGGTTCTCAAACCAGGGAATTCGGCTTCCCTTGCCCACCAGGGACAGTTGGAAATACTTGGGGACATATTTGGTTGTCACAGTGGAGACAGCTGGCATGCATGCATACAGGCCAGGGATAAGGTCTGCTATCTCACAGAACAACAACAACAACAACAAAAACCACTTCCCTCCTCGAGTGATGCCCCTTGTCTACAGCAGGGTCTCTCAAACTGTAATTATGTAGGAGTCTGTTTAAAAAGCCAGAACTCAATTAAGTAGGTCTGTGGTTAGAACCAGAGATTCTGTCTTCCTGGCAAACTTCTGGGTGCTGAGGAGGCTGTTGATGGTCTGGGACCTCTCTTTAGTAGCAAGTCACCCCCCTAACACACACACACACACACACACACACACACACACACACAATGCTATGCCTGTGTCTTGATTCGAACAGCCTTGGTTATTACCCTTCTCCCTCCTTATAGGCAAAGCTAGGAGCACCAAGCTCTGGTTCTCTGCAAAGTAGCAAGGTTTGGGGAGCAAAGGGCTCTACTATAGGGTGAAGAGTTAAAGGGGTCTGGATAACATATTTCCCTGTACCTACCTAGCACCCAGGAGTCTTCCCAGGTCACATGCTAGCGCCTAGTCTCCTGGCTGCCTAATGCATTAGGACTTGTAAATTGCCATGCCATCAATGGTGGAAGGGACTGCCTTCCGAGAGCCTTCTGGGGATTCTTCACAGGGTTGCCTAGGGCTCAGGAGAGCACAAAAGGCTGGAACTGGGCACAGCCGAGTTGTCCTCTGGGGTCTGCCACTTATTAAAGAGTCTCCCAGAAATCCTGTCACCTCTTAGAACCTCAGTTTCCACATGTGTAAAGTGGGGACAGTACAAGCCCTTCATAAGCTCTGCAATGCCAATGGGACAAAGAAAGACATAGTTCAGAGTTTGATACTTTCATCACCTCAATCTGCACATCTCTTCCTGTGTCCCCTCTGCCAACAATCAGACTTTGGTATAAGTTGTTCAGGTTGTCTCCTTCCCTGAACCAGGCTGATAAAACCCGGTCTAGCCACCCCAGGATCTTCATTTACGGGAAGAAAATAAATTACAGGATCTTCAGGAGGAAGTCGTCCTAAGGACTAATCAATAATGGATGAGAGGCAAGGCACAGCACACTCATTCTGTGCCCAGTGAGTGTTAGCGCTAGGCTATTGTACGGCTGAGTGACCTGTGACTACCTGTACCTTCCGATGACGGTGGGAGAAAGGCGCCAGGAGAGAAGCCAGCTAGCATCCTGCTTTGCGTATTTCTTTGCACTATGTTTTATTTGATATTTCACAGGTACATCAAAAGCCTTTCCCTCTCCTTTCTTTCTCTTTCCTTCCTCCCTTTTTTTTCTTTCTTTCCTTTTTGGAGGGAGGTGGACAATAGTGGTTCACTTTAATTTTTAAAAGATTTATTTAAAATTACATGCATATTATGCTCGTGGTTGTACCGTACCCGTACCCACAGAAGCGCTGCAGTCCATTAGAGCTGCAGTCAGAAGTGATTGGCAGCCACCTGATGTGGGAGCTAGAAAGCAAACTGGGGTCTTCGGTAAAGGCAGTACCCACTCCTAACCACTGAGCTATCTTCCCCCCACTCCTAACCACTGAGCTATCTCCCCCCCACCCCCAACTCCTAACCACTGAGCTACCTCTCCCCGACTCTTAACCAACCACTGAGCTATCTCCCCAGCCCTGTGGTTCTCTCCAGTTTGTTTTCTGTATCTATTTATTTTTTTATATTAGATTTTCTTTATTCTTCTGGGGAAAAGGTGGTACTAAGCCAGTGGTTCTCAACCTGTGTGTCACGACCCCCTTGGCCACCCTCTAGTTCCAGAATTAGTTATGATTCATAACAGAAGCAAAATTACAGTTATGAAGCAGCAGTGAAGATAATTTTATGGTTTGGGGGCTCACCACAACACAAGGAACTCAAAAGTGTTGTTAAGGTTGAGAACCACTGTACTAGGCCCCTTTTAATATCTCTCTCTCTCTCTCTCTCTCTCTCTCTCTCTCTCTCTCTCTCTCTCTCTCGATTTATTTTATGTTGTAGGAGTGTTTTGCCTCCATGTATATATTTGGGCACCACATGTGTGTAATGCCCAGAAGAGAGTATCGCCCCGAACTGAAGTTACAGATGGTTGTGAGCTGACATGTGGGTGCTAGAAACAGAACCTGGATCCCTTAGAAGATCGGTTAGGACTCTTCACTGAGTCGTCACTCCAGGTCCCCCAAGACCTTCCTTACAGAGAGACCTATGTGTGGGGTTCTACAGGGTGAATATGAACGTATTATCTGGCCTTCAGCCTTATTCCGGGCCCAATGTGTGGCATCTCAGTCCATGGGCACCTGGATGTGACCAGACTATAAATACGGCCGTTAACCCACCATGCCCTACATTTATTTCTCCCTCTGCCCCAACCCAGCCTCAGCGGTCCTACCTTGAGCGTGGCGCCCAGCGAGCGCAGCCCGGTGGAGTGGCGAGCCAGCTTGAGCACTCGGAAGATGCGCATGAGGCGGAACACTTGCACCACCTTGCCCAGGTCGCCGAGCTCCTCCCCGCTGGCTCCGCGCCGGTCACCAAGCGCCGCGCCGGCCAGCAGTGTGAGATAGAAGGGCAGCACCGACACGATGTCGATGAGGTTGAGCGGGTGGCAGAAGAAGTTGCGCGTGCTGGGAGCCAGCAGCAGGCGCGACGATACCTCGAAGCTGAACCAGGCGATGCAGAAGTACTCCAGGCGGCGTAACACCGGGTCGTCGCGCACATCCTCTGCGCTGTGACCCGCGGCCACTGCAGCCACCGCCGCCGCCGCCTCCCGGGCTTGGTACTCCGGGAGGCTGTGGATGCACATGGCAGCGATGGAGGCGAGCACCACGCCGATGGACACGCAGCTGAAGAGCTTGCTGGGCAGCGAGTAGCCGGGGTTCTCCATGGTGAGCCAGAGGCGACGGCGCAGGCGGCCACAGCGGGCCGCACCGTAGCGCGCCAGCTCCCGCTGCACGTCGGAGATCTCGTCGGGACAAGGGTCCACGCTGCTCGGCGCGTCGCTGTCCTCGTCCCAGGCGCGAGGCCGCGCCACACGCCGCTCCAGGTAGCGCGCGCGGCAGCACGTGGCCAGCGCGTTCTCGCCCAGGCCCCAATAGTCAGCCTCCTGGCCGAAGGCGAAGACGCACAGCTCGTCCAGCACGTGCAGATGCCCGGTGCGGTAGAAGTGCAGGAGGCCGAGGAAGAAGCCCGGGTGCCGATCGAAGTAGAACTCGCGTGCCGCTGCGTCGTAGTCGTCGCACAGGCGCCGTGCCTGCTCCTCGGACGCCGCCGCCTGTAGGCGGCCCAGGCGCGTGCCCGGGAAGCGCGCGAGGGCGCGCGCGCTCAGCAGCCGCCGCACTCCGCCTACGTTCACGCGCAGCGCCTCGTCTCTTGGCCACCAGGGGACCCGAGAACCCGGACCCGGAAACTCGCTCACCATGGCTACACAGCGTGCCTCCCTGTTGGTTAAAATCCCCGGCTCCATCCACAGTGCTGGAGACTTGAAGCGCCAGGGATGCAGTAGGTACCCAGAGGTCGAATGGCCCCTGGACTTAAGTCAGGCCTGGGTCTGAATATCCTTCACTCCCTAGATTGGGTAACTTCGACTATATGACCCATCCAGCCCCACTTCCAGTTTGTCTCCTCCAGGGAGACACAACAAATGAGGAGGCCTACCTTGCAGGGCTATTTAAGTGATGGGCTGGCGGGATGGCCTGGCATCTTCTAGGGACTCGAATAGGACATCTCTCTTTTCTGGACAAGCTTGGATTTAAGAAGCCAAATGTCCACGGTGGCTCTTCTGATCCTCAGTATCCTCCTCTGTAGATGGGAATAGTTAAGGCTTATTACCTACGACTATTAAGAAAGTCAGTTGAGCCGGTCAGTGGTGGCGCACGCCTTTAATCCCAGCACTTAGGGAGGCAGAGGGAGGCGGATTTCTGAGTTCGAGACCAGCCTGGTCTACAGAGTGAGTTCCAGGGCTACACAGAGAAACACTGTCTCAAAAAAAAAAAAAAAAAAAGAAAGAAAGAAAGAAAGAAAGAAAGTCAGTTGAGACTCTTGATTCTCAGGGTGTGTTCCCTGTAAGAAGACCGTCACAGAATACTCCAGAAATACTCTGCATCACAGGATGTAGAGTCTCAGTCTGCCTTGGTTTTGATGATACAGAACTTCTGAAGTAGGAGCACACACTCCGGGTTTTCATATCTACCTATCTATCATATCTATCTATCTATCATCTATCAATCATCTATCTATCTATCATATCTATCTATCTATCTATTTATTTTGGATACATGATCTCACATGCAGCTCAATGAGACTGATATCAAACTTTTGATCCTGGTACCCCAGTCTCCTGAGTGTCGAGATTCCAGACATGCACCAGTGCACCTCGCCAGTCTGTTTTTAGAAGCCTGGAGGGTAATTCTAGTACGTGGTCAAGTTTGAGAGCTCCTGGCATAGACTATGTAATAATACACCTGTGGTGTCCTTCAGACCTGACCTTGAACCTTGGTTCTGTGTTACCTTAGTTGCATATTTCCCATTAGCCTTCCCAGCAGTGATCAGAATATAGACTTAAAAGTGTGGATCACTTTGTTAAATTATTCGCCTATGTCACTGTCTATTTGAGTCTCTCAAGCTGGAATTTAACTTTGTCCTTAATGGACCTGGCCCTTGACTAAAATGTTGATTCTCTAGATCTTAGTTTCCTGCAGAATACACATGCAGACAGTAGCACACATTCCAGAAGTAGCCAGGGGTTAAGACGGTTTGTGGAAAAACAAAAACAAAAAAAAATCAAACAAAACAAACAAAACAAACAAAAACAAACAAACAAAAAAAGAAAAGCCGGGCGGTGGTGGCACACGCCTTTAATCCCAGCACTTGGGAGGCAGAGGCAGGTGGATTTCTGAGTTCGAGGCCAGCCTGGTCTACAGAGTGAGTTCCAGGACAGCCAGGGCTACACAGAGAAACCCTGTCTCAAAAAACCAAAAAAACAAAAACAAAAAAAAAAGAAAGAAAGAAAGAAAGAAAAGAAAGAAAGAAAAAAGAAAAAAAGACAAAAGACGGTTTGTGGAAACTGTCTAGCTTCGGTGGATATTCCAGAAATGCAAGATTTTTTCCACTGTCCACTGACCCCTGATCCTCCTTTAACTTACCTACTGACTTACCCCTGCTCTGTGAAACTGTGTAATCTCATCTGTAATTAAGGGTCAGTAATGCCTTCTCCCAGGGGATGGGGAAGGAGGGCACACCGCCCGGATGCCCTTCACTAACACTGTGGATTGGGATCCCATCCTTGGCTTGGCTGCTGTGCTGACCCAGGCCAGTCTCTTGACTGGGCATAGCTCTCTTACCTAGAATGGAGGGCATGCATGCCACTGTGGATGATCAAGCTCTTCTCCATTCTTTTTCAAATTCTGACTTTGTCACTTGCTAGCCGTTGGCCTGAGCGGTCCATCACCCTCTCCGAGCCATTGGTTCCCTCCTCTGCAGTCTGGACTGCACTGGAGACACTCTGAGGATTAAACAAACATGGTGTTTCTGGTAGCGCAGTCCTGGCCCATAACTGGTGCATCACTTGCATTCTCTATTGGCGTTGGCATCAAAACACATAGTTTTTTGTACACTTCCATCATCCATTAGAAGCCCTGTTTTGGGTCAATTCCCCCGTCTGCCACGCACTTCCCTGCTCTATGAATTAGGATGATTAATTCAGCAAACATTTCTTGTTAAGAATCCCGGTCAGTTAGAAAGGCTGGGTAACTTATTCAAGATCATGCAGGCTGTCTGTGGGTCTCTCAGGGGACCGACTCAGCACTCTTGATACTTTTTGTGAGCACCCTCTGCGTGTTTGGCCGCTTCCCTGAGCTCCCTACACACCGAGCACTCAGTTTTATCCTAACACCACCTAGGTTTTCTAAATCCCATCTTACAAAATGTGTAAGCAAGACCAGCCCTGTCACGATATTCCGCCTTGGGGGGTCTCCTAAATAAGAATCCGCAGGGCACACCCCCCCACGCTCCCAGCCACGCCCCTCCCCGCGGGAGGCTCCTTACCTGTCTTGGCCTCCGGATTCCAGCGCGTCTGTACCCTAAGTCGCCGCCGGGCTGTTTTCTGCCCCGAGGCCCCACTGCGCCTCACTACTGCGGAAGACCCGCAGCCCCCTCCTTTCCTGTGTTCCCGTCCCCCGCGGCTGAGGCCGCATCGATCGCTGCCGGAGGGGAGGGAGGGAGGCCGCGGGCGGCCGGAGGCGGTGGTTTCTATTCTTGCCTGGGATGGATGGGGGCCTAACAGCTGGGAGCATCTTTCAAAGTCAGAGCCTGGAAGGATGGGCCGGTTAGGGAACGGGGACACCTTTGGAAAAAGGTTTTAACCTCTGTCCCAGGAATGGCAGCGACCAGGATTTACTTTTTAGTGATTAATATATGCCAGGCACTGTTTCAGGGGACTTAGTCCAGTCATGTTTAACACAAACTTGGCAGGGACAAGCTCTTCAGCTTCTGATTTTATAGGTGCCACCCAGGTACTTGCTCAGACTGTGGAGGTCTGAGTTAGGAGGTGGGGGAGGCTGCTTGGTCTCCTTGGAGCCCCGGGTTGTGCCCGAGTAGGATCTAGTATATTCTTTTTCCAAGTGAGTTGTGAAGCCAGAAACCGTCCTTCTGTCCTGGAGGCTCAGAACTGACCTAGACAGTCCTGATCACTTCCTATGTGGAGGAGGGCTGCGGGCCTGACAGCCGTGTTGAAAACTTAGAGAGCCTCCATCATCCTCCAGCGTTTCTCTGGGCGGCTGCTGTGTGTGTTCCTTCACTCTTAATAATCACCAATATTGATTGAGCACCTCTTTTGGGCCCATCCCATCTCACTCAGCATGTGAATGTACCTGTTGGGTGGGTGGGATCTTAATCCTCAACTGGAGGTGTAGGGCTTGAGAAGTCTCTAGGACACGTGGGGGCTGAAGTTTACACCAAGTGAACATCAGAGGCACGGTGATCTCTCTTTGTCATTTACAAGTTCTGAACTTGGAATGAGGCTCAGTTGGCAGAGTGCTTGCCTGTTGGGTATGAAGCCCCGGAGTACTGTGTAAACCAAGCACTGTGGTTTATAGCTGTAATTCCAGCAGCCAGGGGGTGGAGGTGGGGGGATCCCAACAGTCAGGAGGCGAAGGTGGAGTAATTAGAAGTTCAATTCTTGGTTGAATAATGAGTTCCAGGTCAGCTGGATTACATGAGATACTATCTCAGTTATTTTTTTCTTTTTTAAGATTTATTTTGTTTGTTTGTTTGTTTGTTTAATGTATATGAATATACTGTTTCTGTCCTCAGACACACCAGAAGAGAGCATAGGATCCCATTACAGATGGTTGTGAGCTGCCATGTGGTTGCTGGAAATTGAACTCAGAGCCTCTGGAAGAACAGTCAGTGCTCTTAACTTCTGAGCCATCTCTCCAGCCCTCAGTTGTTTTTTCTAACATCAGCATTAAAAATATAAAAAAGAGGGCTGGAGAGATGGCTCAGCAATTAAGAGCACTGGCTGCTCTTCCAGAGAACCTAGGTTCAGTTCCCAGCACCTGCATGACAGCCTACAACTGTCTCTAACTATAGTCCCATGGGAGCTGATGCCTTCTTCTGGTGCACAGATAAACACGCAGACAAAATACCCATACACACAAACAACTATCTTTTGAAAAAGGGAAAAAAATGAGTCTTAAAAAACAATGTCTTTTATTTAACCTAATATATCCCAGATATAATTTTAACATGGTATCAATAAAGAAATTAACAGTGAGATATTTTCTGTATTTACTTTTGGGTTAAGTCTTTAAAAATTATTATACTAGTTTTTTTGTTGTTTGCATTGTTACAAATCACCAGCAGCTGCCAACCTTACGAATGTGTCATCTCACCATTTCTGTAGAGCAGATGTCCGTGAGTGGTATAGATAGACTCTGTACTCATTCATGTGTGCATGTGTGTAGACGTGTGTGTTAGTATGTATGTGTGTATAAGCTGTTAGAGTATGTGTGTTAGTGTATGTGAGTGTGTGTGTACTTGATTGTGTTAGTGTACGTGTGTATATGTGTTATTTTAAGTGTATACTTGAGTGTATGTGACTTACTGATTTGCTTCTAGGGTATGGTGAGGCCATGTTCCTTCTGTGATTGGACTTCGTAAGATTATGACTTCTACTGGTTTTCAGGAAGTTTCCATTCTGGAAGGGCAAGGGACTGTGAGTGACTTCTGGCCACTGCCAGCTGAGTATTTAGTTCCTTCACCCTCCTGAGCTGAAATGCCGCCAGCAAATGCTGGCCAGCAGGGCCTTCTCTAGCTGAGGCTCAGAGAAGACTCCCACCCAGGCAGACATGTGGCTGCAACCTCCGGGAACACAGGACCTGGGCCAGGTTTCTTAACTCCAGGAAACCATGACCTAATAAG